AGGGATATTTATTTCAAAGTAAAAACTATGAAGGATCTTTTTAGTAATATAAGTTCTCATTTAATTATTGCCTTTTTAAAAAAATTAGACTTGCTAACTGATTTGTAAATAGATATATATTTTATTATTGGTAGTTTAGATTAGCAATATGGCTGAAATATTGCCGGTGTGACGTTAAATATTAACCTCACTCACTCACTCAATTAGATTAGCAACTGAGATTGTTAGTGGCTGTACCGTCAAAGGGGGTTGAAGTAGTGTAAAATTATTGTCCTCCTGAGAGGGTACGTAAGTCCCAAAATGTTCCAAGTCCATTTAAACTTGCCAGGATTTTTAAACGTAGCATTTTTGTCATTTTAATTTTGGCTAACATTTCTTACAATCGCCAGCAGCTAAAGGGATGGTGTAAATCCAGCTAGTGTCCATGCAGGTAGCAAAGGTACTGTAAGTCCCCATGGACCCTAGTATGGTGATCTACCTTCTGTTGTTGGCGATCTATAGCCTGATTTTATATTGAATTGTCCCAATAGTGCTATTAGTTTTAAACTTTCCACGCTAGTTTTAATTCTAATTGTGATAATCTAGTTGTTTTACTGTCCTTCGTCGACAGGTTTTTATAATGTACATGTGTTTCATTTCAATATCAAATGTTCTCGTCACGATATGGCTGAAATATTGCCGATGTGACGTTAAGTATTAACTCACTCACCAACACAAGGGCGCCCAATTCAGCTGCGTCTTACTATTTATCAACAAGAATATGATCAGTTACAAAGCTGAATCAGACATGCCCATATACACTGATGGATCCTAAGATCTTTTTAAAGCAAAAATCCCCAAACCAAACATGCATACTGTTGAAAGGCATCCATGTTTAATTGTAATTATACATGGTGTTTGGTGTTTCGCTTTTGTCGAAAATATAAACCTTACAAGGACCCAGATTTATATTTAGATGGAAACTCTATTATAAAGTTAAAGTTGTCCAGGAAGCTAAGTCCTTGGGTATTGTTTCTATCAACATTTGACATTTTGGTCACATATGAAATATTTGAAGAATAAATGCAAAGACATTTGATATATTACGAACTGTTTCAAACTCGAGGGGATATGTTGAATATGTTGTTCTGACTCTCCAGACCTTCCTTTAGTTCTGATCCATCATAGATACTCTCGTCATTGCGTCATCAGAGTCAACATCAATCCACAGAAACGTGTAGTCTGCGTCGACTACGGTCATGAGCACAACGGAGAAGAAGCCCTTGTAGTTTCTGTATTCAAAGCAAGCCTTCAAGGGACAGATGACTGCCACATGTTTGCCATCCAGAGCACCACAACAGTGTGGGAACTGCCATCTCTTCTCAAACTGTTCAGCAATAACAGCCAACTCTTCAGTTGTAGTTGGGCACTGAATCACCTCAGCAGCAAACTCAGCTTTGATGGCATCGCAGACTTCACTGGTGATGAGTGAGATTGTATTTGGAACAATTCTTGTATTTGGGACATGCTCGGATAATCATCACCGCAGACCAGGTGTCGGAGAGTCATTGTCAGCTTGAGACCAGAGGGGAGTGACCTTCGGTTCTATGCGTCCTTCTTGATTATTCTGTCCTCTATCCTTCTGAGCACGTCATAGAGCCCTCTGGGAATCCTTGTGTAATTGTAGAATACCTTCTCCTCTTCAGTTCTCAGCTCATAAAGTGGAGTTGTGTAGTGGCCAGAACTCTTCTCTCCTTTTGTCAGACAACCATTTCATGACCCACACAAACCTCAGTTTCCTCCTACGCCTCTGTTTGCCCCAGCCCTGGAAAAAAAAGTGCAATATCACAAATTTTACCTGTAAGAGGAGGTGCTCGGCCTGCAAGAGCTGCTCATCATGCTCTCCGAGGTGCATTATCAGTATCAAGGCTTTTGCCTTCTTCTTTCTGATTGTCTATCTTCATATGCCATAGTGTGAGGTCTGTGGATTCAGGAAAATACTTAGGAGTAATTATGTTAAATGCTGAGGAGTAACACAAGCCTCTGGTCTGTAAAGATGCTCAAGAAAGACTGGTTGGAGTCGCCCTGAGGGTGCCCTTTTATATGACCACGTTACCGTCACAGCTGAAACACACTTGAGCTACTCAAACTCAGCCTGCTTACCGACACCGTGGTCCCACTGAAATGGAATCGTAATGCAATACGATTGCTGTACGCAGGTATCACGAGGAGTGTGAGAGAGTGAGTGAGTTTAGTTTTACGCCGCTGTCAGCAATATTCCAGCTAGATATCGAGTCTGGCCAGGCAATTCAGTGACCAGCAGCATGAGCATCGATCTGCGCAATTTGGAACCGATGACAAGTGTCAACCAAGTCAGCGAGCCTGACCACCCGATCCCGTTAGTCGCCTCTTACGACAAGCATGGGTTACTGAAGATCAATTTTCTAACCTGGACGTTCACGTGTACATGAGGAGTGTACGCAGTCACGTTAACTTCTTTTGACAATTGGGCATCTTGTTGCCTTCGTATTATCTTCGCAAGGTGAAAATTGCCCGATGGTACCGGTGGACAGACGAAGGCAATAGGATGATGACATGAATTCACAAGGTGGAGACACTTAGGCATCATGAAAATGAACCTTCCCAAAGGGTATCGGAATTTTTTTTGACATGCCAAACATTTTGCCCACTCCTCCCGATGTTGCTGTCGAAGCCGGAGAAACTACCGGCAGCCAAACAATGGGTTAACATTCCCTTACGAATGGCCTGATTGCTTTACGACCCCTTGCGAAGTTGCACATTTTCAAATTCGCGTTTCCTACTTATGTAAAATCGGCACAGTCTGACGCCTGCATACATAATAAACTAAACAAGAAGACAAAGTCATCAATATCTCCCAGAATGCATGGCAAAATACTCCTCATGAATATGTCTATTAGTTATGATTATGTCGAATGTTTTGGCGTGTATAAAGTGGAAGGAGAGTATTGAAAGGTTTTTAAGTTCTGCTACAGAAAGGAGCACTACCACCAGATTCAGTCGAAGTCAAACTTGTTGCCATGGAAACGCAAAAAATATTTTATTCAGAAATCCTAAACTATCAAAACGCACCAGTACACCACAGTCCTATCTTTGTGAGAAGTCTGGAGAAGAAAGAAGAAATAGTTAACGGTTTTAAAGTTCTGATCCGAGTTCATTTAGTACCCCCGCAAAACGCGTTGCGGGGATAAATATAATAAAAGTATTGTCGACCGATGACACCTGTGTGATATTCTTTGAAAGGCAAGGGCCCAGTGCTCCGTGACTCTCTCAGGAACCAACTAATGACTATTTGATGGTGACACGGTAGAGATGTTTCATCGTGCCCTGATTGATCAATCGTTGCATATACTAGGCTTCATTTTTCTCTCACGCTTCTTTGTCCAGATTGTAGCATATCTGTGACATTGCTGAATGTGACGTGACATCACACACTCACATCTACTGAAGAGTACGGCACCTTTATACTTGTTTTAGGCAACAACAGATACAGAACAAATAACAGTGCGTTGTATTCGTGAAGACAGTATTCACGATGCCAAAAGTTAAATAAATTATGATATGGATAACGTGTTAGATGGAAAAACTGTTTTTATTGAAAATGTACACCTAATACAGTATAACAAGAAATTATTGAGAATTTAAAGATTGTAATTTTTAAAAAAAAAATCACTCATTACTCACGTATTAAATGTCAATATTAGCAGAAAATAACTCCAGATTCAAAGACAGGTGAACAGTTAGTATTTTGTCAAGTCACCATGGGCAGCAATGCAGGCTTCAATGCGGCGGGGCATACTACTGATCAAAGAAGTTAGAAAGTCGTGGTTCATGCTGTCCCAATATCGGACCATCTCTTCTTTCATTTCAGTAATATTTGTCAGATTTTTCTTATTGACACTTTTCTTCATAAGTCCCCAAACATTTTCTATTGGATTTAGGTCAGGGCTATAGCTTGGCCAATCTAATAATGTCATATTTTGGGTCCGAATCCAGGCCTGTGAATGCTTTGAACAATGTTTTGGGTCGTTGTCCTGCTGGTAAATCCAAAAATGTCCATAGAACACGTGAGCAGATGGAAGTAAATGTCCCTCGAGAATATCTGTGTAGCTCACTGTTCATATTCCAATAATCCCTTCAAATACACAGAGGGGCGTTGCCCCTAACACAGATATGCCACCCCACACCTTAAATTTCGGACTGTACTTTGGGCGCTGATACAAAGGTTTTTCAGTTTGTTTCGTCCAGAATTTCAGTGTATTAGGAAACAGCCACACAGAACTTTCATCTGAGAAATCACATTGTCCCAGTTAAAATTTCTATGCTGTAAGACCAGTTCAACCTTCGCTCCTTTTGTTCAGGTTTCATGATCGGTGATGGAAGTCCTCGACTTTTCTGCCAACCCATTGCATGCAGCTCAGTTCTGATTGTCTCCTTACAGACAGCCACAGTTCCTCTATCAATCATATCAAGCCTTACGTTTTCTCAACTCCTTCGTTTGTTTTTTAAAAAAAGAATACCAAGCCGCCTCCTGTCAATTTTCTGGGCCTACCTGCGCCTCCCTGGTGCTCAATGCCATATCCATTTGCAATATGTTTCAAAACACGATAAACAGTGGACAAAGGGATGCCTGTTCTACTTGAAATCACTTTAGCTGAACTTCCTCTTCTCATATTCATCCATACTGAGGAGCACTGAAAATGTCGTCTGCTAGCAAGTAAACAAAGGGGGATAACTCTTCACAAACTAATGAAAAAGGATTAACGGAGTTGTCTCTCTTGAATGAAACCAAGCACTTGATAGCTGATCAATGTTGTTTATACTAGAAATCCAATTAAACATATTCCTAAAATTCTCAATCATTTCTGGTCATACTATAGTTTCAGGGAGATTATAGGACTGACAAGAGATACCTTTTCAGTACGTCGAGGTGCATTTTTCTATTTCAGGTTGGGCTTCTGTTTCAGGCGGGATTCCAACAGGATATATCTGGGTTGGCTCAGATGACTTACAGGAGGAAGGTACCTGGAGATGGATTGATGGTACCTTGATAACACCCTGGTGTGACGGGGAGCCAAACAACTTGGTTGAGGAGGACTGCCTTTGCCTCTCCGTGACTACTAATGCTGGAACTTGTCTCAATGACTGCGTTTGCACGATGCAAGCGCCATATATGTGCCAGAAGCTGGCACTTGGTGCTACCACTTGTTAAGATTCAAATGACTGCAGCCTTTGTGAACGTGTAACCGCTGATGGTTTCTTTAGGCACAACAACGGTTCAAACAAGACTGGCTTAACATTTTCTCCTGTAACACTGACACATTACTCGGAAACATCTGCAATTACTTTGCCATTTCCGTGGCTACGTAATGTGTACTCTTATGACACTATTGGCGCCGAATTTACGAGTATTATACCATGTAAAACTCCTAAAAAATATTGCAATTTATCTAAAACTATATTTAACTGTATAAATTGTAAATTGTTCACCTGCCCATGTGTTATATTATGTGTATTGAATTGTACTCTTGGTCGTGTGATCATAAATACTGAATAAAGCTCTTCTTCTTCTTATACAAATTAACATCAAACCATAACCAGTCAACAGTAAACACACAAACATTATAGAGAATAACCCTGGTTGACAAGCACCCACTCCCTCATCTCTAAATCTGCCAGTGAACGTTAACTTAAAATCGGTTGTCTTTCCCATGCTAGTATCAATGTATGGCAAGTATATAGCATTGTGCAAAAATGCGGAAAAAATACACGTTTAATTTAAGTGTGTGTGTTTTTTAATCAAAACTGCATAGAATTGGAAACGTCTTCAGTGGTGCTGCTTTGGTTCTCTCCTATTTTGCTATGTCAGGTCACGTGACCACACAGTAGTAGATTATGTCAGTGTTTGCCATGGCCACATTACATAGCCATAATCTATATTTTGTCAAATAACGATTGGACAACCTCTCGTCAGCAGCACATTTTGGACAAACGTTTTGGTCTGAACCTTGCTGATGCCATTTTCACGGACGAATCTGTTTTCAAACAAACAGGTGGCCCTAGGGTGGAAACTCAGAAAATGGTTCCCCGTTTTTAACTAAACCTGACATTTCTAAGATGGGAGGGGCGGTGGGGGTAGCCTAGTGGTTAAAGCGTTCGCTCGTCGCGTCGAAGACCCGGATCCGATTCCCCGGATTGGTACAATGTGTGAAGCCCATTTCTGGTGTCCCCCGCCGTGATATTGCTGGAATATTGCTAAAAGCGGCGTAAACCTAAACTCACTCCAGTCTAAGATGGGAATAACGCCAAATCAGAACAATACTTTGAATCTTCAGACGAGACTCTTGGAACCAGTACAGTACGGAATTGCGGACGCATATGCTGGAACCATATGCATGCTGGAACCGTCAATCTTTGACGACCATGTGTGTGCAGAATGGCGTGTTGTTCTAGGATCTGATGGCCGCTAGTGGACTTGATATACGCGCAGGAGCCATCCTTCTGCCATGGTTCCCAGTGAGTAAGTAAGTGAGTTTAGTTTTACGCCAAACTCAGCAATATTCCAGCTGTATGGCGGCGGTCTGTAATAATCGAGTCTGGACCAGACAATCCACTGATCAACAGCATGAACATCGATCTACGCAACTGCGATGTGATGACATATGTGTCAAACAAGTCAGCAAGCCTGACCACCCGATCCCGTTAGTCGCCTCTTAGCATGGGTTACTGAAGATCAACTCTAACCCGGATTTTCACAGGTTGAGACAGGCAAAGTGAGTGAGTTAAAATTTAAAGTCACTTTGGCAATATTCCAGTCATATCGTGACTAAATCAAGTTATAGATTAATAATAATCTAAATTAAATTATAAAAAAACCTGTCAACGAAGGACAGTAGAACAGCTAGATTATCACAGATATGAATTTAAAACTAGTAATTAAATCTAAAACATTTTAACTAAACATGACAATACAATATAAAAATAGGCTACGGAAGGTGGATCATCATAATAGGGACCATGGGGACTTACAGTACATTTGCTTCCTGCATGGACCCTAGCTGGATTTACACCATCCCTTCAGATGTTAGCAACATGGCAAGCAATGAGCCCAGGCCACGATTTCGCCAAACAATCAAACTTTGCAGATTCTGATACCTTTCGGTACGGACTTACAGTAGCAAATTATCAATAATGCAAATTCAAGTTGAAAAATCAAGCGATGGAACACACACACACACACACACACGCACACGCACACGCACATGCACACGCACACGCACACACCACGAAATCGGAGTTCAAACGATTCACTAAATTCACCCCTCTTTGGGTGAAAAGTGATTTCAACAGCTGTGCTGCGCTGCGCTCAAAGCGCATGCGCAGTGAATAGGTTCGCACAGCCTGAAGCAGGATGCCCGAATTATAAGGTCGTGACAAAACTCATTATCTTACCTCCATGTAAAATGCTTTAATTTCATTGGTCAATGACGGTTTAACAACTTGGAAAAAATATTACCCGCTGTCATGGTAACCGCCAAGCTCTCCGCCGAGAAGCTGAAGCGCTAACAATCGTATGAGGTCATAATATGACGCATGCAGTGACCGGAGTTCGAAATCCGTTCGATCAGCTGTTTTTGTGTTCATTTTGTACAGATTTATTTTACCGACTTTCACAGCTTTATTAAAGGTATTTTATACATTGAGTGGTTTGCACACTCAGCTTAAACATAATTGACATTTTTTTGTAGCAGTTTTATGCTTGTCAGAATATGTTTCACTGACTCGGGTAACACTGCTACAAAGAGGCGTACATCAGACCGTATTACCCTCGACTTATAATGTCTGTTGTATTGACACTTATGTGTCTTCCTGCCTGTCTGCTAATGACAATATGCAAGATCAACTTCGATCACTGACCACATGCAATTTGAACGTAACACCTATCAGGCTATCCACCATAAACAAAACGCATTGATTTATGGTTCGTGCACCCGAGTTGTGTCTCTGTCACATTATGTAATTACACAGACAGGCAGGTGTGATACTTGTACACATGACATGTTATGATGTCTGGTGATTGCAAATTGTTATACACCTAAAATGAGCATGTATTTTCAAAACTCAACATCTGTATACAAACACAAAGAACCCTGAGTGTATCGGCCAATGAACCAGCCAATAAAGTCTTCGTTACATTTAAGTGCACGGCCACCCGCTCTGACTGGGTTCGGTATCCCGGGTGCTTCGTTTCGCGGGGAAGTAAACCCAAGTACAAAATGGAGTTCGGTCTTGACTGCCGTCGAGTACGGACGTCTTTTGCTTGTGAGCAAATTGAACAGTGTCATGGCGTTCTTGGTTGTTTATGGTTGTTCCCTTTTTGTTGTTGTTTTCTGATTTTCTGTTCTGTTGGAGTGTATTGAAACCTCTACGTTTATTCGTTTTCGAGGGTTAATCAGTCTGTTGTTGGGGATTTTCCTCGGCAATGGCTGATAACAGAATGCACTGTGAGGATGGCTTCAAAGTAGTGTCCTCTGGGAGGAAGGGAATCGGTCGCATTCCAGATGGTACTTCTAAGAAAGCTTGTGTTGTTAAGCAACCTCCTACTGCCACTCTTTCTGCATGGTCTCATCTTACATTTGTTTATGATGAGCCAGTTCAGGTGAAGCCAACCGCTGTCATAATTAAGGCAGATGATGATGATGATGATGATGATGATGATGATGATGATGATGATGATGACACTTCGCCAACCCTTTGTCAACTGATGATCCAGCCAGCGGGCTTTGGCGAGAGCATTGGCTAAGGTTACTACTGACATAGTCAGTGTTACAAATTCCTACTAAATTTGTTTTGCTTTGTTGACATTTACTGGTCAGTCTTTACCAGATCATGTTGTTATTTTCTGCCAGAGATTTCCAGTTCGGATATACGTCCCCCCCTGCTCTGTGCCGCTTTAAATTTCAGTCCTTTGGACATGTCTCTGCTAAGTGTAGGAGCACTCATCATGTTTGTGCTAAATGTGGGGGGAAGCACAATGAAGAGGAGTGCAATGAAAGTTCTCTTAAATGTAAAACTTGTGGTGAAGCTCATTCTGCTGCCTACAGAGGATGTATTAAATATCAGGAAGCGGTCCAAATCCAGAAAGTTAGAGTTGAGGGTAAACTTTCCTATTCTCAGGCTGTTCGGAAGGTGCGTGGAGATTCGGATGTGGTTAAGGTTCCCTAGCTTCATTCACCATCACCCATTGCTCCATCACAGTCTCCGGTATCTCCGGTTCCCAAGGTTCATTCACCACCACCCATTGCTCCATCACAGTCTCCGGTATCTCCGGTTCATTCACCACCACCCATTGCTCCATCACAGTCTACGGTATCTCCGGTTCCCAAGGTTCATTCACCACCACCCATTGCTCCATCACAGTCTCCAGTATCTCCGGTTCATTCACCATCACCCATTGCTCCATCACAGTCTACGGTATCTCCGGTTCCCAAGGTTCATTCACCACCACCCATTGCTCCATCACAGTCTCCGGTATCTCCGGTTCCCAAGGTTCATTCACCACCACCCATTGCTCCATCACAGTCTCCGGTATCTCCGGTTCCCAAGGTTCATTCACCACCACCCATTGCTCCATCACAGTCTCCGGTATCTCCGGTTCCCAAGGTTCATTCACCACCACCCATTGCTCCATCACAGTCTCCGGTATCTCCGGTTCCCAAGGTTCATTCACTCACCACCCATTGCTCCATCACAGTCTCCGGTATCTCCGGTTCCCAAGGTTCATTCACCACCACCCATTGCTCCATCACAGTCTCCGGTATCTCTGGTTCCCAAGGTTCATTCACCACCACCCATTGCTCCATCACAGTCTCCGGTATCTCCGGTTCCCAAGGTTCATTCACCACCACCCATTGCTCCATCACAGTCTCCGGTATCTCCGGTTCCCAAGGTTCATTCACCACCACCCATTGCTCCATCACAGTCTCCGGTATCTCCGGTTCCCAAGGTTCATTCACCACCACCCATTGCTCCATCACAGTCTCTACGGTATCTCCGGTTCCCAAGGTTCATTCACCACCACCCATTGCTCCA